CAGAATTATGGGCACTCTGCCCGTAATTGCTTCGCCCACAGTGCGTTAAGTGCTACTCGTTGTACACCAACGACATCCCTAAATTCTTAATCGCTGTTTGCCGATGACATGGCTCTCTTTACATCCGCCAAGTCCCGTGCGACAATAGCCAGACGGATTCAGAAAGCCGTAACCATACTGGGCGTATGGTTCCGTCGGTGGCGCATAGAAGTCAATCCCGAAAAAAGTGCAGCAGTGTACTTTAGTAGGGAATTCGACTCTATGAATCACCCGATCGAACTATTCGGCCAAAACATCCCGTGGGTTTCGAAAACGAAATATCTCGGCGTCACCCTAAATAGGAAACTAACGTTTCGTCATCACATCAAGCGTGTCCGCGTCCGAGCCGCCTTTATACTAGGGCGACTCTATCCTTTTATTAACAAGCACAGTAAAATGTCGTTTCGCAAGCTGACATTATACAGGGCTTGCATCCGTCCCATCATGACTTACGCTAGTCCCGTATTCGCCCACATACCCTACTATTTAATCAACAGACTACAGATCATACAGAATAGGTTTCTGCGTCGAGCCACCGGTGCGCCGTGGTTCGTTCGCAGCGTAGACCTCCACCGCGATCTTAATTTGCCCTCCATCAAGCAGTTTATGAAGGAAGCATCTCGACGCTACTTCGACTCTGCCCAATCCCACCCTAATCCGCTTATAGTCAGTGCGGTCGACTACGCACCGAGGAGTAAACTATCCGATATACGCGACAACGTCGCCCGAGGCACGTTCTCATTGACCCCCACGACCCCATAACGGCAGGTAACCTCCCCACGGGCCCACCCGTTCCACCCCGACCACACTTTTACACACACACACGACACCGTCCTCGCCGGCGAAGACGACGACCTCAAACACTCAATATCGCGCATTCAACCGGGCGCCTGCGCGCGCCCGGGCGCTCCACACCGGCGCCCCTCCGATCGATCCCCCGTCCAATTCAAACGGGGATCGAAATTACGACGGCCTGAGCCGAGGTTCGAACCCCTAGTGGTGCCCTCAGACTAAAGTCGTATCCATCGGGCAGGAGTTGGCCTTCAGCCGCTCCATAAGTCTTTCCGCGGGTTTGGAGTGCCATCTGCACTCGCCCCATAACGTCCGGTGAAGCTGTAAAGGCCAGCTACGGCCAACAGCATTAGAGTAGTCCGAAAAAAAAAATCGCGGATTATTCATGTCATAGGGCAGTAAGTTGTCTAGGTAACGGATAAATAAATAAAGAATACGAATGTCTAATTAATCTCTTATTTTGTATATAACAAATTGGCGACGATATGACGGACCCTGAAGTTAAAAAACCCAAAAGGGTAAGAGCATCTTTACGAGGAATGTTGACAAAAATAGAAACTTCCTAAATACGCAGGAAAATATTGAAAATATACATTAAGATAAATGCTACCATTTAATGTACAAAATGTAATCATACCTTATATGTTATGATTATTGCACAAAGGGGTGAGGAAAATAGATAGCCAAAGGTCCGCTGGCCAGCGGCTTAATAAACGTATAAAAGTAGCGTCCAATGGAGCTACGATCGTAGTGTAATCTACTTCTGCATAGAGCAAGCACCTCCGGAATAGAAGAAATTCTCCTCGCCCCTGCATACAGAAAATCAAGAATCATCGTTTCATTCACAACCCGTCCACAATCGCCGTCTTCACGCATCGTGTCATCGCCGTGTCACCATCGCATCGTCATCGCTTCACCAAACCTCCTTCTCAGGACGACTCATCGTGGTGCCTGTTATAAGGCACCTGGTCCTTCACCCCGCAACGCGCCCGCGGCGTTGATTGAGGCCCTTCAGGTAGGGAGTGCTTTGAAAAGGGCACTCTCTCACCTCGAGGAGGATAGATTAACGTCCGGGCGTACCAGCGACTCAATATAAAATGTGCATGCTATAATAATAACTACAGCAATTTTGCACAATATGTGTAGAAACCTGAACCTACAAGAAATCCCACAGAAGTTGAGCTGCCACCTGCAGACAATATTGAAAACAGTGCACAAAACATGGTTGTGCTAGACATGCAACATAGAGCAGATCTTATAAATAATTACTTTACAATTTAAGAGAACCGACAGAAACTAGTAATTAGAATGTTGTAATAATTTTATTGAGTAATTTACTGTTGAAATTTGATTAATATCATAATAGTATATATTGTATAAAAATATATATTGTAAAAATTATTTACTATTCGATTAGATAGGGTTCGTTAGGGGATACGTTATTAATTTCGGGCGTAAGCCTATAGACGCGCGAGCGCAACGTAATAAAAATATATTGTAATCATCTTAAATGTATATATCATAAATAAATAAGTACGTAAATTCTTAATTTCAATCCATAATCTTTGTACAACCCCGTATACTTATACCGTATAATAATGATAAAAAAGTATTTCAAATATCGTATATTTTGAAAAATGATTGTTTGTTTATGGAAGTGAATTTTAAAGTTACAAGCCATTATTTGTAGGATGTAAGTTGAGGATTTTTCACACTAGATAGATGTCTATCAATGAAATATTAACCACTGTAGATTGATATCTATGAACTGAAGATTGATGTTAATCAATGAAATATTAACCAAATGTGTAGTTATACCTGATGAGAACTAGACTTTATGTATTCCATTGCTTCATGATCATGGTAAATAAGTATAAAATACAATCGTTTGCTGTATTATGTTGTTTGTATCGTAAACCCAATTTCTTAATAATTAATGTACTTTAGTCTTAGTTTGTAGAAGTTAATAATTTTTATAAGTCTAAATGTATGAAACCATTTTGTGTTATCCTGATTATTTTAACTTTTATTGATTAATAAAAAAAAACCGTTTTACAAAATGTTGCATTTTATTTATAAATAAATAGTTTTTGTATAGCAAAGTGCATATAAATTTACTACTGTAAATTTTGGGAATTGTTTTGAATTGCGGAATGGCGCTTCAGAATAGACCCCAATAATTAGCAAAAGTTAGGACATTTCAGGGGCCAGTAGACAGGCCTCGCGGCGTACATAAGAGACGTTGTGGGCATCTAAATAACCCGTACTACTAACGACTATAACAGACGTTATGACTCCGTCACAAATATGTCGATCAATGACGTCGTGAAAAACGTCTTGAGGCTGTGACAAATCTACGTCATCTGAAGAACCGTCCGACGTCATTTGACGTCTTTTACATCATGACTGAAAATGGACGACAATATGACGAATAATTGGTAACTGGGATGGTAATAGCCGCATACTCAAAAATAAGACTAAAATGTTGACTTGAGATTTGATAATAGGTTTTTGCGTTATTGATCGTGTAAATTTTTCACTTATGTTATCCGTGGAACAAAAACATAAAGATCATTATTGAATGAATAAATCCAAAAGTATTAATCGACCAATCGTCAAAAATCTCAATATTATAATAGGGTGTGTAGATAATGAATCTGGAATAAACACGATTCTATCATAATAGCGATTACCATATTACATATTACTTACAGCGCTTACAAGTACATCAATTTCTATTATCTGAAATATGAATACACTGATCTAATAAACTACTTACTCCTTTATTTTTTATATTATATGAAATGAAAAAAAGAAAATGAAAAATGACCATCCGGAATTCCTATACTAGCATCGGAGTCATATACCATACATTGATGTCCACATAAAACTCCTGTGGTAACTAAGCTAACTAATACATTTGTACTATCCACTCGAATAGTTACAGCAGTTGGTTCACCACCAGCTTTATTTAAACATCTTTGGCTTGTAAATTTTTTTGTGCCCTTTATTCTCCTCCTTTTTTTGTTTGCTCCACAGTAATTCTTTAATTGTTGTAATGTGTGTGTGCTACCTTTGCCCATTGCATTAAAACTGTAAAATATAATGAAGATCAAGTACATGAGAAATAAAAATTAACATATAAAATTATACTAAACATGCAAGTTACACTAATCTACAGGCTAGCTTCTACAAATACTATCTATACACATACAAAATACTAACCTATCCATAACATCCAGCCATCCTTTCTTTTTACCGTTGTTAGTATTTGTATCTGTATTCTTATTTTCTACTACGGCGACACGATCGCGGAACAATTCCAACAATAAATTCTATCTAAAATAAGGTAAGCATTGAATGAATGTAATAAAAATTTAAACCAGTGAAATGCTAAGTCCTACATAAAAAAATAATTTACGTAATACTTGACAAACTAACAAATATTGATAAATAATCATAATCTCATTGTCAGATATACAATTGTCTATTACCTTGTTAGTCTATGACACATTCTCGCTTCTCTCTCTCTCGATTCTCGATCTCGATTCTCGATTTTCCTCATGTATGTAATTCTGTAAAATAAATATGTGAAACATTCCGCTGACCGACGCGCTAGCGAACGCACGTATGTGCTCGCTAGTCCCGCCGCCGTCTCGCTGTTCTCTCCCTCTCCCCTGTTCGCTCCCTCGAGCAACCCACCGCGCACGCGCACGCAGTTACGTTCGCGCGTTCATACTACTTCGCCGCGTGTTAGGTGCACTACGTACACCTAGTGTGGCCCGGGGCCTTCGTGTCCCGCGCCGACCGCGCTCTCGGCATCCGTTCCGACACGGTACTACAGGACTGTCGGCGTGTGTAGTGCTGTGTTGTGAGGACTGAAGGAGGAACTCTCCTCGTTCAAGTGAAGTGAAGTGTTGTGTGTAGACGCTCAGTGGCACGGACTGTCGTAAGTTAGGGAGGTGCGTCACGCCCGCCGCCGACACTACGTGCCTGAAACACGATGTCAAATATGCTTAATTAAATAAGCACATTAACTTCAGCCATGCTAAGGCTACACCGCGAATTACCGCGGTTGTTCACGCGCCCCACGTCCCGCCCAAAAGATTCTCCGACTGAATAAAGATCGTACGCAGTACGGCCCGCGTATTGCAATTTATAGACAAGTTATGACCACTCAAGCAACACTGCGCCGTCGCTACCTACAAAAGAAACAAAAGATACGAAGCGATCCCACGTGGCGAAGTAACAAGACTAAACCGAAAACGTCGAAAAGAAAAACCGTACGTGCGCCTGTGTGTTATATAGCCATAGACACACACTATTTAGAACGCGCACGTCGGCTATGGATCCGCTCAATACAAGAAGAGGCATTCAGCATCGACATAGCGGCGTTGCGACGCAATAAACAACTGTCGTCGAGTAGTCGACTTATACAGTTGTCTATTTTTATCGACGAAGAGAATGTGCTGCGGCTCCGCTCAAGAGTGTCGGTTGCCGCCGATCTGTCAGTGGAGCAACAGGAACCACCCGTAGTCGACGGTCAACATGCATGGGTGCGCCTGTACATAGAATGGGTGCACAGGAAACTTCACCACGGGGCTTCGAAACCACTGCGAACGAGGTGCGTCAACACATTTGGGTGTTGCGCCTACGACATGCCGTCCGCAGTGAACTGAAGAAATGCCAGGCGTGCCGCATTTGGAAGGCAGCACCAGCGCAACCATCGACGGGCAACCACCCACGCAGCAGGCTGGCACATTTTCAGCGCCCGTTCACCTTAACCGGCCTAGACTACTTCAGGCCGATGACAGTGACCGTGGGTCGCACGCACCAGAAGCGGTACGGCATGCTGTTCACATGTCTCACCACGAGGGCTGTTCACCTGGAGATCGCCGGCAGCCTCAGCACCGACTCCGCAGTAATAGCTCTGCGGCGCTTCATAAGATGCCGCGGTTGCCCCACGGAGCTGTGGTCGGACCAAGGCACCAACCTCAAGGGTGCCGACTTCGAGATGAAGAAAGCAGCCGCTGAAGCCAAGGAAGAAGATTCGTCGGTGCGCTTTATACGCTGGCGCTACATACCATCGAGTGGTCCCTTCATGGGCGGCGCCTGGGAATGGCTTGTGCGCAGTGTAAAAACCGCGCTGGCCGCTACGCTGCATGAACGAGCACCGTAAGACGAAGTCCTTCACACCCTGCTGGTGGAAGTCGAACACACCCTCAACTGTGGACCTCTCACCCACGTGTCGATATCAGTAGACGACGAGAACGCGCTCACCCCCAATCACTTCCTATTGGGAGGTCCGTCACGTGTTCCACTGCCAAGAGCATTCGCTGAGGGCGATACGGCGGGCAGAAAGGAGTGGCGCGCCAACCAATGGCTAGCCGACTGCTTCTGGAGGCGCTGGGTAACAGAATACTTACCTCAGCTACAACACCGGCGGGAGCCCCGAGCTACACACGGAGTCATCAAGCTAGAAGTCTTGGTGCTGGTGGCGGAGGGCAACCTACCCCGCAACTCCTGGCCACGCGGCGTTATGGTGCATCAATCAATCAAATGCTTCAACACTTTAAAACAAATATACTGCTTCACAGTCGGCAATTTGGTTTCACGTCCGGTAAATCAACTACTGACGCTGGTGTAGCTTTAATGAAACACATTTTTGACTGTTGGGAGAGGTCTCAGGATGCTATCGGTGTATTCTGTGACCTCACAAAAGCATTTAATTGCGTTGAACACGAAACACTGTTACTCAAACTAGAACATTACGGTATTAAAAATGAAGCTCTAAAGATGATGAAATACTATTTAGATAATAGAATGCAAATTGTTGAAATAAATGGTGTAAGGTCCGAAGGTTCCAGTGCTAAAATGGGTGTTCCTCAGGGATCTATTCTTGGTCCTTTTTATTTAGTTTAGTTTAGTTTACATTAATGACCTTCCTTACATGGTATAAAAAATAGCAGACATAGTTCTGTTTGCCGATGATACTTCATTTATATTTAAAGTCAATCGACATATTGATGATATGAAAGAAGTAAACAGTTCTCTCTCTTCTGTTTTAAAATGGTTTACTGCTAATAATATGCTATTAAATGGTGATAAAACAAAGTGTATTAAATTTACGCTCCCCCAAATCGTACTGAACAATAAATTTATTAAATTTGTTGATGATACTGTATTTCTTGGTATTACATTAGACTCCAAACTGCAATGGGGTGCTCATATTTCTAAATTGACGAATAGACTTAGTTCTGCCGCTTATGCGGTAAGAAGAATTAGACAATTAACAGACGTGGCAACGGCCAAACTCGTGTATTTTAGCAATTTTCATAGCATTATGTCATACGGTATTTTATTATGGGGCAAAGCAGCTGATATAAATACAGTATTTATTTTGCAAAAGAGGGCCATCGGCTCCATTTACGGTATGGGTTCCAGGGAGTCTTTGCGTGAATGTTTTAAAGAATCAAATATCCTCACCGTTTCTTCTCAATTCATCTACGAAAATATTATGTATGCCAGGAAAAACATTAACAGTTTTAAAAAAGTAGGTGATTACACTAATAAAAGCTTACGTAATGTCAACAAACTAGTTTTACCTAAGTGCCGTTTGACGAAAGTCAGTAACTATTTTTATGGCAATTACGTAAAGTTTTACAACAAACTCCCAGAGACTGTAGTCAATTTGCCAGAAAAAAATTCAAATGTGTCATAAAATATTTTCTTTGTAAAAAAGCTTATTATAAAATTGAAGAATTTATAATGTTTATAATAATGTATGATGTAATTGATAATAATGTTTTTGTAGAAAATATCTAACTTAAAATTCATAGCGCTGACAATGTTATCTGACTGAACAGAGATAGAAACCGCTACGCACTTAGCGTAGCGGTTTCTATGTCGATTGTCGCATGCCTAATCCTTGTTGTTAATTAAATATAAGTAAATCAATATTTATTTAAAAGAGCAACACACACGTTTCTTGCTTATTCTTCTTGTGATGAATCTGCATTCCGAATAAGCGGTAGAATAAAAAAAAACTTGACTATTCAAAAGTGCTTATATTAAGTTTATTTGAATAAAGATTATTTCTATTTCTTCACTGGAGAAATCCGACAATTCGTTAGAAACAAAAATCAAGCAGCAACACATAACGATATTGCACAACTATTTGGGCGTGCCTATGTAAAAGCTCAGCGTGATGAACTAGCAATCAATGGTTTTCGCGTTACAGGGATTTGGCCAGTAGATAGAAACGTTTTTCAAGACCATGACTTCATTGATTGTTACAATGATCTATTAACACCTGAACAAGTCCACTTTATCCATAAAGTGCAAAACGCTGCCCATGTACCACCAGCTGATGATTCCGATTCAGATCGGACTTTTTGAGAAGAGACTGAACCTGAAACAATGGATGAACCACAATCCACTATTGAAAAAATCATGGATATCAACTAAGAAAATCCACCGGAATTGAATAATGAATGAATCCCAGATAAACCACAATCCCCGACCGACAAAACTACAATTGTCGATGAATGTGATCCAGTTGCAACAATGAGTGATCATATGGTCAACATTGCTATGAATGAAGTACAAAGTTTGCCTTCATTAGCTTTGGCAGCAATTTCTCAAGACAGTAGTTTTTTAGAACAAAATGTGTCACCTGTTCTAGTTAGTTTAGGATGTCAATAAAATTTAAGTACCTCAAAATTTCACCCCATTCAAAGATTCGACAAACTTAGTAAGTGTATCAGCTGGACCATCTTCATCACCTTATTTATCACCACAACAACTGTTCCAAGAAAAAAACACAAGAAAAATACTCGTACAGATACTAAGAAAAGAGCAAAAAAAAATACAATTCACAGAAAAGACTAAGAAAAAAAAGAAAAACGCCACGAATTATTCAGTAAATAAATGATGATACCAATGAAAGTCCTGACAGGAGACAGAATAATAACGCAAAATGCCTTTACTGTGAAGGTTGTTTTTCGGATGACGAGAATGGAGAGCTATGGTTGGAATGTCAATCTTGTGGCTATTGGGCCCATGCTATTTGTGCAAGTGTAGAAGAAGACCATTATTTATGTGAATTTCGCAATTAAGTTAGTACCTACAGATTTTATAATTTACGTTCATCCTTATTCAGTGTAACCATTCCAGGCTAATTATTTTTTACGTTTGAATTATATTTTGTACTGATAAGTAATTTTTCCTAACCAAAAATAATTATTTCTATGATTCAAGATAAGTATTATTCGTACTAAAAATGGGGTGGTCCAAATAAAACACCCCTGGTCCGTATTAAAAACCTAGTGGTCAATATTGAATTACCTAATTTAAGAAGGTTATGTTTGACAATTTTTTTAAAAATGTTATGATTGTTATAAAAAAGCTTGACTGATTGAAGTAATAAAGACTAAAATAGCACTCCTATTTTGGTTCTATTCAATGAAATCCTTATGGTATTCTATATTTAGAGAACTTACAGTCAGTACTTGAAAAATAATGATTTTAATAATGAAAAGTCGAAAAAAGTCGATTCAATGCTTCCAAAAGAGAAGAATTGGACCTTACTAAAAGTATACCAAAATTACCAGATGCAGCACCCAATACCAGTGACTATTCAGATCCAAAACAACTACAACATAGTACTATCAAAAGTCAAAGAGAATTTTTAAGCGTTAATATTTTAGCGTGAACAATATAGTATCTTCGCTATATGTTACTGATAAGGGCAATTTTGAAAGATCTAACTGATCAAGTGAAAGGGTCCGTAATTGAAAACGGACATCCCTTTCTTAAAAGATAGTCACAGATCTTTTTTAGAAAAACATTACTACATTGTTTCCAGGTCTGGCGTAAAACATCAACGTACATGGCTATTCTTTTCTTTAATAATTCAGATGGCGTATTATGAACCGTGTTGGTTATTCGCAAGATCGGGCATCTAAGAAAATACAAAATACTCAATCCAAACAGTGCCATGACGACTGGAAACTTATTGTAGATGCCATACACAGACACGAGACATCGAAAATTCTCTGGATTCCTATCTTACGTATCAATAGTGGCGGCTACATGGTTGAAGAGTAAGAGTCTATGATCAATAAAGAAAAATCTTTTTGGCGCCAAGTACTTTCGACGCTCCTTGATGACTTTCAATATTTACTCAGAGCCATTTTCGTGGGTACAGAAAAAAAACAGATATCAGTGATCAAAGTTCCAAAGAAATTTTTTTGAATACTGATGAGTTATTAATAAAATACGATACGTTTAGCCAATATAGCATTCAAATTAAAACAACGTATACGCATTGACGAGTGGCACAGACTAAAATTTTATTTAAATCACAGAACAAACAATCTACCGACAATGCACGACAGATGTCTGCACTAGTAATATATTGTGTAGATATTAAACACTTAATACCCCCGCTATATCTAACAATATGAATATACAAAAATATTACAATCTTTGAATACCAAATACATCCAAAAACTTATGTTTCACAACACATAAAGCCTTCGTGAATACATCAGCTGGCATCTCAGCGGTAGGCAAATACTTCACATTTACAATTTTATTTACTACAAATTCTCTACAAAAGTGAAACTTAATGTCTTGTGTTTTGTCCTAGTCCCGCCGCCGTATCAGTGTTCTCCGCTCCCTCGAGTAACCCACCGCGCGCGCGCATGTAGGGCAGTTACGTTCGCGCGTACTTCGCCGTTCACGTTCGCGTGTTAGGTGACTCGGTGCACCTAGCGTGTCTCGCGCCGATCGCTGCTGACCACGCTCTCGGCATCCGTTCCGACACAGTGCTACAGAACTTTCCGCGTGTGTAGTATTGTGTTGTGAGGACTGAAGGAGGAACTCTCTTCGTTCAAGTGAAGTGAAGTGTTGTGTGTGGACCTTCAGTGGCACGGACTGTCGTGAGTTAGGGAGGTGCGTCACGCCTATTGCGCGACGCGCCGATCCGAGCCGCCACCGCTGCCACCAACACCCGCCGACGCCTGCTGCCTGCCGCCCGCCGCCGACGCCACCAAGTAGGTTCGCTTAGGTACTCATTTATCACGCAATAAGATTAGTGATCTTACATATTAGGGTCACATAATACTTAGGCACTCATCCTCCTGCCTCACTCGGCAGGGAGGCCCCAGCTGACAC